AAAGAAAAGAAAGAAAAGAAAGAAAAGAAAGAAAAGAAAGAAAGAAAGAAAGAAAGAAAGAAAGAAAGAAAGGAAAGAAAGAAAGAAAGAAAGAAAGAAAGAAAGAAAGAAAGAAAGAAGGAAGGAAGGAAGGAAGGAAGGAAGGAAGGAAGGAAGGAAGGAAGGAAGGAAGGAAGGAAGGAAGGAAAAGAGTTCTTCACAACATAATATTCAATAATTTTTATTTATTATTAAATAGTGGCAGTAGCAATATAGTAGAAACAACAATGGGTTGAAGGAAAAGTAAACCACATACTTTTTCTAACTTTGAGGCTGCCAGCATGTAATTTTGCTGTCGGTCTCAGTTTTCTCATCCATAAAATATGAGGATTAGGCTTGAAATAGCTAAGATTACTTTGGATCTAATGCCCTATGATTTTACAAAAATACAACAAATCTTACCCGTTTCTGATTTATTCAAAATAGATGAGTAGGAGTAGCTTTGGCTGACATAATCGCTGGTAGATCCCACAGAACCTTCTCTTGGAAGTGGACCTATAAACCTGTCATGAACACTGTCTTCCCCAGCACTGGAATCCTCCTAAAAAAGCAACATATTCAGAAAGTTAATAAATACAAGTGTTGCTGAAACAACAACATTCACAATTTCCTGTAGGAAGGTTTGAATGATGGCTGATACAAAACACTTTGGAAAGGTGCTCATGTCCCCTTCCAAGGTGTTACTTTCCAAATTTTCTTTCAAATTTTCTGATTACATGAGAGGACATTTTTGGTACTACTAAATCAAAAGTGCCATTGTACTCCTTGATGACAGTCTATGATTCATTTTTATATCATCCTTGCCAGGTAGGTCTAGCACATTGGGGACACACAATAATTGTTGGATGAGATGGATAGCTTCCTACTGTCTCCAACAAGAAACTTCATTTTAATAAGGAAGATGCTGAAAAGGATTAAGGGACATAAAAACAGCACAAGCAATTAGGACAGAACTGCAAAATTCTTATACATTTAAAAACACGAATACCTGAATTGTAAATCAAGAGTTCCCTAAATTAACAGTTATTTTAGATTTCAATGACACTCAGACTAATCAAAATCTTCTCATGTTGTCATAAAAATAATGCAATTAATGAAGATCAGAGATGTATTTTGTATTTGGTATAATGTATTTGGTTACCGCCTGAGTACAGATGGACTGAGTTTAATTTCTGTCTACTGTCCAGACAGGCATTGTTATTCACAATAAACTTCTAAATGAAAAGCATCAAACAGAACAATCTTTCCTGAGCAAAGTGTCATTAAAGAGAAAGATTCTGAAAAAGTCCATAAAGCCTTAGATTTCTCAGCTTGTAAAAGAGTGAAGTAAATCAGACCAGGTTTTCTTCATCTTTTTTTTTTAAGCATTTCAATTATTTTTTTTTTTTGGAGACAGGGTCTTGCTCTGTCGCCAGACTGCAGTGCTGTAGCACTACCTCGGCTCGTTGCAACCTCCACCTTCTGGGTTCAAGCAATTCCCCTGCCTCAGCCTCCCAAGTAGCTGGGACTACAGGCACATACCACCATGCCCAATTGATGCTTTGTATTTTCGTAGAGACAGGGTTTCACCATGTTGGCCAGGATGATCTCAATCTCCTGATCTCGTGATCTGCCCGCCAAGGCCTCCCAAAGTGCTGGAAATACAGGTTTGAGCCACTGTGCCCAGCCTATTTTTTCTACTTTTAAGTTTAGCTGTACCTGTGCAGGATGTGCAGGTTTGTTACACAGGTAATGTGTGCCATGGTGGTTTGCTGCACAGTTCATCCAATCACCTAGGTATTAAGGCCAGCATCCCTTAAATATTCTTTCTGATACCCTCCCTCCAACTCCCACAGCATGCCCCAGTGTGTGCTGTCCCCTCCCATGGGTACATGTGATCGCATCATTCAACTCCCACTTTTAAGTGAGAACATGTAGTGTTTGGTTTTCTGATCCTGTGTTAGTGTCCTGAGAATAATGACTTCTAGCTCCATCCATGTCCCTGCAAATAACATGATCTCATTACTTGTTATGGCTGCATAGTATTCCATGGTGTATATGTACCACATTTTATTTATCAGTCTATCACTGATGGGCATTTAGGTTGATTCCAGGTCTTTATTATTGTGAAGAGTGCTGCAATGAACACATGCATGTATGTATCTTTATAACAGAATGATTTCTACTCGTTTGCCTATATATCCAGTAATGGGATTGCCAGGTCAAATGGTATGTCTGCCTCTAGGTCTTTGAGGACACACTATCTTCTACAATGGTTGAACTAATTTGCTCTCCCACCAACGGTGTAAAAACATTCCTTTTTCTCCACAACCTCACCAGCATCTTTTTTGACTTTTTAATAACTGCCATTCTGACAGGTGTGAAATGGTATCTCACTGTAGTTTTGATTTGCATTTTTCTAATGATCAGTATGTTAAGCTTTTTTTCATGTTTGTTGGCTGCATGTATGTCTTCTTTTGAGAAGTGTCTGTTCATGCCCTTTGCCCACTTTTTAATGGGGCTTTTTTTTCTTGTAAATTTGTTTAAGTTTCTTGCAGATTCTGGATATTAAACCTTTGTCACATGGATAGACTGTAAAAATTTTCTCCCATTCTGTAGGTTGTCTGGTCATTCTGAAGATAGTTGCTTTTGTTGTGCAGAAGCCCTTTAGTTTTAATTAGATTCCATTTGTCAATTTTTGCTTTTGTTGCAACTTGCTTTTGGCATTTTCATCATGAAATCTGTGCCCATACCCGTTTCCTAAATAATATTGCCTAGGTTTTCTTCTAGGGTTTTTTTTTTTTTTTTT